AAAAAAGTTTTAAAAAATGGGGGTAAGAAAATTTTTTCGTCTGCACGAATGCAATATTAAGGCCCTATAGGAAGGGCATCAGTAATACTGGTAACACAATGAAGTATAAATTAATATTAAAAATTAGTGAAAAGGTATTGACGTTGATTTTTGATTAAATCAAAACTGTATAGTGCATTATCTGTGGTAAGTACAAAACTTTTATTTTATTCATTTGATAATATTATGATGTAATGTTCACTCCTGTCCCTTAGTCCTGTTTCACATTTTAGAGAAAAATATCTTCTATAAAAGCTCTTGATTAAAATTATGAATGAATGAGGTGTTTCCAAATTAGGTAAAACAATTGGGGATATTTTAAACCATTTTTTGGAAAAAGCTCATATAAACATGTGTCCTGATTACTTGATTCATGAATAAGTACAGAATGTTTAAAAATTGAAACTTTATTTTGAATTTTTTTAAAATACGTTTGAGGTTTTGAGATTTTCATTTACCCAGACCTTAAAGAGCGCTACGAATTAATCTTTATTTTAGGTATATAATTTGATCTTTCTGCTTTTTTAACAGGAATGGGGATTTCTTATGAATATATTATTACACTTTTTCTAATAAAAAAAAAATGAAAAATTTTTAAAAATTCCTAATAATTTTATTTGCATTTGTGAGTCATGGGTCATGGTATACTTATTTTCGTTCTTTTTACCTTAAAAGAGAGTCAGTTGCCTTCTATAGAAAAGAGAAGAATAGAGGAATAAAATAAATCTCCAACAAGCGGGAGCATTAAAAGAGTATTTCAGGCAATCGGAAAAACAACCTGAACAAAAAGGTTTGAATCCAAAATGCAGAGTTTAAATATTCTCAACCATCCACATCCACCAGTACTAATAACGAGACAAACATTAAATCAATGGATGTCACACCCGGTGATGGCAATGAAATGGCAAGATCATCATCAACATCATCAATCAATCCCAGTCAAGATGAGAGCGATGAGGACGAGGGTGTTGCTCAAATAGCACTAGATGATCCAGATATTTTAACAAAAAAAAAAAAAAAATAGATTTATTGGTAGAACTTTGTCCCAAACAAGCTGCAAATTTTAAATATCCGGTCGATGAGAATAATAAACAATTTCGGTGTTCATATTATAACAAAATTTTTAGTGAACGGGGAGAAAATAAATGGCGCGTTTATCTGCTATTCCATAAAACTAAATCTTGTAAGTACCTACTATCTTTTTTATTGGCGTCATTGTTCGGATTACTTTAATAAGCATGAAAATACTTTAAAACAGGAAATTTTACAAGATCGTGGTGCGAAATAAAATAGAGACAAAACTGCAGATAAAAATTGTACCAATGACGTGGAACAACAAAATGTTTGTAATCGAGAAAAAAGCGATGGCATGTCATGATTGCTGTAGTAGAATTTTTAGCCAGTCAAAATTTTGCATTCAGATCAACTAGTACGAAATTGTATCATAGAGATAATGGTAATTTCTAAAGGCAGTGGAGAGATTTGGCCAAATTTGATTCAGTTATTTGAAAACCCCCTTTGCAAACACGTATTTCACACTATTTAGGGCAGCATTTTCAAATTGAAATAATTAGTATTTTAACCGAATCTATACGTAAATCGATGTGATTTACTAAAAAAACACGTATAGTCTAACTATTCCGCGCGAAATATTTTTAATTTTTAATGCAAAACCCAGACGTTACCGGAAGCATTTGAGATGTGCGAGGGCAGATGAATGATTCCGAAATCGCGGACAAGATTGAGATCGAGATATGTCATGTCGGCATTCGGTTCTTGTTGAAAAGCCGTGTCTAACAGCCAGCAATAAAAGTTAAAAAGCAGTTGTTACAAGTGTATTAATATGGTCCTTCGAACTACAGCAAAGCAAATCAACAAATGCTATTAGACCTCTAAAACAAGACCAAAACAATATTACAGTATTAAATGCCTTAATTGAAGATACCATCAGAGACAGGAAAACAAAAATGGGTGCTGAATCAATAATTAAAAGTTATAACATTTAAATTTTTCTGGTCAATTTTAATTTATTAAAACAAATTGATGTATTGAGTAAAATGCTTCAAAATCCAACATCGCGGAATGCATTGAAGGCTTAGATCTTAAAAAATATTTAGTTTCCCAAAGATTGACGATAATTTTAAAATATTTGTCGATTCAGCAACGACACTTGCTAGAGATTTAGGTACAAAACGAGAATTTCCCATCTCGAAGATCAGAGGGCAGTGATGAACCAGTTTCAGATCCGTTCCAGCAATTCAAGACTGTTTTCTATTTTGCAATTCTTGATTACGTGATCTCTTCGGTAAATGAAAGATTTACCTTATTAACTGAGTCTGATTTCTATATGAGTTTCAACACATTTCTAATAAGTAATAATCTCATGAAAGCCTACATTGACTTATTTATTAAGTTACAGGTACAGAAGGAAGTATTGTGAAAGATATAGATGATATAAAACTATGAAATAAATCCATTCAAGTAATTTTATTTGTTTTTCAAATTTTGCTCTGGAATAAGAATTTTTTTAACCTTACCTGTTTCTGTGGCATCGGGTGAAAAAAGTTTCAGTAAATTAAAAATTATTAAAAATTATTTGAGAAATAATATGATACAAGAAATGCTTACAGATTTGGCCGTCATCTCTATTGAATCTGAAATTGATTTCACCGAAATTATTGACAAATTGGCTTCTCAGAAATCCAGAAAAGTTATTTTATAATAAATTATTAGATAGTCTTTCTAGAAGAACTGATTTATACAGGGTGGCTCACGCTCAACGGGACGGAGCTTTATGGGAAAACGACCAAAGATATAAAAAATTCGTTTGGGAGGAATACGTAGGTTACAGACGGCTACAATTTAAAATTTGTTAGATGTATACAGGATGTCCCACATAAGAAAAAAAAATTAGTTCATTAAAAATTATTTAAACAAGAGTAAACATTTAATTTCTGGGAGAATTTTTTTCCTTAAAAATTCAAATAAATCGAAAACTAATAATAATAGTAATAGGGAACCTTTAGTTAACTGACATTATTTTTGATGTAGTTTTTAATTCTAAAATAAAAAACAGGGTGATCCATTAAAAATAATATAACTTTGTATATTTTCTCTTATGTGGGACATCCTGTATACATCTAACAAATTTTAAATTGTAGCCGTCTGTAACCTACGTATTCCTCCCAAACGAATTTTTTATATCTTTGGTCGTTTTCCCATAAAGCTCCGTCCCGTTGAGCGTGAGCCACCCTGTATACTTTTCGTTTCACGAGATTTATGCTTTAGTACTTTTTTATTACATTATGTTTTCTGAGTAAATACTGTGGTATAAAATGTCTATTTTTATTTCAAATGTACCTAATATTTTTGTTGTTTATTATTTTGTTGATGCATTTTATTGCTATTATAACCTATTAGCTGTCCAAAAAATAAAGTTTTGCAATTCAAAATTCATTTGTATTTTTATTATTGTTTTACTTTTTTCTGTTATACAGGGAGATGAGTTTATAACATCAACGTTATGTATTAGTCAAAATATGAACATTTCTCTAGAGGGGCGGCACATTTGGTCTTTGCATGCGGGCGGCCGACAGCCTAAACTCGGCCCTGTATTTACCTTTAAAAATTACTTTGGTTGCGAAATATCCAAAAACGGGACTAATTCCCTTTTCAAATAACCGAATCAATAATACTATCTAAAAACATGAAAATTTAATAAAACCGTTATACATTTCATGACATAATTGTTTCTGTTTCCCCGAGAAAACAATATTCATTATCGAGAACGTAGAAATATTTTAATTTACCACGGAATGCTAAACTTCCTGCCTTTCTTAGTCATTTCCGTCCTTACAGCCCTTTCTGCGGAGCCCTTTTGTGTAAAGAGAATGAGCTATATTTCGCGAAATGAAGCACTTGTGGTCGCTTTCCATCGACTTTACCATAGCAAAGACTATATTATATACACCCTTTGTGTCCTAACGTGACGATCAAACAAAAGCCCTTATGCGTCAGTCAACCCCAGTCTTATCAACAACCCAATGGAACTGATTTAGAATTCGGAATTAAGACGACAATTTCAATTGCATGAAATATTTGTAAAAACAGTAGGATGTTAGTTAAAATACAATACAGGTAACTAACATTTTCCCAAAGATTTGTATTTTTTGAATGATTTAAAATATTTATAAAAATTGGCTGGAATTATACTTATTTTAGATTAGTACTTAGGCCATTTTAAAACTAAATTTAAATGTTTTATTAGTTAAACATTAGTGTAACACCCTGTATACCACAAAAATATTGTTAAAGTACCTATGTATTGAAAATTGTGAATTTATCTATGGTAAAATCGCAAACCAAAATCCGAAAAGTCAGACAAATATCTGAAAGAGGTTGCTGAATAATTTGAACATTTGGAAACAAATCACTAAAATCTTCCTACGAATTATTAAGACCATCCCTGAACTTCAAAGGCGAAAACAAATACTTGGAGATTTGAAAAAGCCTGTCGCGGCCGGGAATCGAACCCGGATATCTTGTATTCTAGACAAGTGCCCTTCCTTCTAGACCATCACTACATTGATTGTCGAGATTCCTAGATCGAAATTCGATGTGCTAATTCGGGTCAAACTGCGTTCAAGCTCGTTGTCAAATCTTCAAATGGGATTAGTATGCATAACTATATTTCTCATATACCTACACCGATGTTGTATAGAGATATTTTAAGATTTGAGGAGCTTGAAGGAAGAGCACTTGTCTAGGATACAAGGATATCCGGGTTCAATTCACGGTTGCGACAGGCTTTTTTCCAAATCTTAAATATTTGTTTTCACTTTTGGAGTTCGGGGATGGTCTTAATAATTCGTATGGGGATTTTTAAGATTTGTTTCCGAATTTTTAAATTATTCTACCTACAATTTTTGTTTAATCGAACACTTGTTACGTTAAATTCTTACCCTGTTAAATCCGGAGTCCAGCAGAGACACTATCGTATTGTCATCTTTCTCGAATGCACTGTAACAAACAAACATAATTAGCTTTGGAAATTTAATTTTTTTCTCAACTTTTTTTTTACGTAGGTCATGAAAATTGACAAGGTCTAGACAAAATTTAGATGATTTTTCATAAGTTGCCAATTGTTAAAAGTTACAAGAAATGATAATCTAAAATATTCAATTGTATTCTGTTAAAAATACAAAGCATTTTAATAGGAACAATAAACAACCTTAAAACATTATTTTTACAAGAATTTTTCGGAAGTAAAAAATAGGAAAATGTGACTTTAAAATACTTAAAATTTCACAAACCTAGTGAGAAAGATCATCGTTTTTGAGTAGTCTGATTCAAAACATGAAGAAAAAAATATTCGATTTGATTTCTCGCTATTCACCGAACAAACAATCGCTGTGCTTATTAATCATCATCTATACACATTGGAGGAATTTATAGGTTCCCACCAGGTTCCCACTGTAATCATTTCTACATTAAACGAAAGCTGTTATTGTTCTACAGCCGTCCGCATCGAAATGAATTCTGATTGTTATTCGTTTGAAGCACATAATAACCTGGAATTACAGCTAAAATCCATCAACCCCGTGAATTAATAATAACGAGAGGGTTGCCCGCTCCGTATCCTATAGGGTATAGGGAAGGTCCGAAATTATTCCAATTATTTAGTTTACAAATTATATATCTGTTCGTATTTTCGACGAATTATTACCAAATTGAATAATAAATGTGGAGTTATGTGTCTTTTCAAAATATTTGAACGATGGGTTACCTACAGAAACTACAGATTCAATTCCTATGATTTATTTTAAATATGGAAAAGCTCGTGGAAAAATTTAGTGGTAAATTTAAATCTGACTTGTTCTTACTGAGATCAATTTTTTTTATAAATCGTTTGAATAGTTTTTGATACACATGGTGTTTCCAAAGTAATCTGAAATATTGTTGTGGGCAATTAGTCGTTCAATTTTAAGACGAAAAGCTCCTATAAACATGTGTGATAGGTTTTATCGTTTATGAGATACAGGATATTGACTTTTTTATTTTGCAATTAGGAAACCAGTAACGTCAATAAGGAAAATTTATGGTAACTTACTCTTACAGTCAGAGCTCGTATATTTCAAAAAATCAACACCCTGTATCTCATAAACGACAAAACCTATCACACATGTTTATAGGAGCTTTTCATCTTAAAATTTAACGACGAATCGCCCACAAAAATATTTCAGATTATTTTGGAAACACCTTGTATATATATTTAATTTTAAATTTGACATGAGTCATTTAAAATTTTTTTAAGCATGTTATCTTTAAATTCTGGAATTTTTTTCGGACATGTCGATTTTGTTTTGAAGAAAGTCCCTTTTTTTACATTTATCAACACATATGAATAGTAATTTTTACCACTTATATTTGGATAAAGAAAGTGAGTCAAATGGTACCTCTTTTTGAAAGGTTTATAATTCTTCTTACAATGCCGTATTTTTTTGATTATTTTTTTCGTATAACTTTTAACCAATTAGAACGTTCAATTTAGTTAAGTTACCTCGTATAATTTCGATAATACCTGATTATACATAGAGTAGCTCCACCAATCAAAAATATTTACAATAATTTCATTTCCGTAGTAACCTCATCGACAACAATTTCGAAATTTTAAGGTTTATCAATAATTATTTTAAAATGAGTCGATTCGGAGATGTATCATTAAATGCAAATTGTTGATATTTACTTAATTTACTCAAAAAATAATCGTATCAAATACAATACGTACTTCAAAATAAATACGGTTATACATCTCAAACTTCCTGCATAATTACAAATCGTGTCAGTTTGACAAATAAACTGTCAAACTGACACTCTTTATAATTATGCAACAAGTTATCGATGTATAACCTGATTATTTTGAAGTACTTATAGTATTACTACTGAAAATAATATGAGTCAAATACAAACTTTTTGTCATAAATAAGAAATAGTATATTACATTACGAGTGTGGAAAGTGACATTTTTCACACGAGTGGGAAATATTGTCGCACGAGGCACAAGCCGAGTGCGACTATCACTCGAGTGTGGAAAATCACTTTTCACATAAGTGATGTACAATATTTTTCCTACGGCCACAAAATATTTTCATCAAAAAATGTAAAACCAGGTTATTATAATAATTAAAATGTATTTAAAAAAATAATCAACAACAATCGTATTTATTCAATTTTCATTATTAAAAAAAAAAAAAATTAAAAAACAAAAAAAGTTCTGCCCCCCCCCCAGGATTCGAACGCGGTCGTTCGCCAGGTCTCTTAAATGGCAAATTTGATAGTTTGATGCACTAACCAACTGAGCTAACAGGCCTTTCGTCAATTGAGTGATCTAATCGGTTATATGTTTAACCAGAATAAAAAGCAAACATAATCTTAGTTATTTTAAAACTATTTTAATAATAATTGTTAAAGATAAATATCTAGGATCTAATTTACAACAATTTCAATAATTTAACAATCATATCCATTTTAGTATTAATATGGACATTACATAGATCAACATAGAAATTAGGTGTTTGACATTTTGTAACAACTACTGCGGAAAGTAACATATTCTCACTCGGGTGGAAAGTAAATTCTTGTTCACACGCGTGTGATATAGGACACTTTCCATAGGACTTTATAGTGTGATATGTGTCACTTTCCTAAGTGGTCGTAGGAAAAAATAACTTTTGCTTATTTTTGTAAGATTTAAATGCTCAACCTTCTTAAGAGATTCAAGGTTAGAATAAAACCGATACAATTTACAAGCTGGAAATCTCTTAAGTTACCTACAAGTCACGAAAAGGAACAATGGCGACAATATTGCTCAAGTGGAACCTGGTCAAGTGAAACCTGCTCCAGGGACATCCAAAGAACCTACTCCAGGGACGTTCACTGTACCTACTCCAGGGAAATCAGAAGAAGACACATTTGCTACAATAATAAATCCAAATCCTGGCCAACTAGCTTATCAGAAGCAGAAATATATGTTTTTGGTAAAAGAAGGAACACCTCAATCATTAAAGGAATACAGTTTTCCGTATAATCATACCCAGTCATGCGTAACTGGTTAGTCTATTCATTAGAAAAAAAAAATTGTGTTTATTGCGTGTGCTGCAAACTTTTCTTCCTTAAACTTAAAAACAACATGAAACCTTTAAAAACCATATCCAAAGTCAAAAATCTTTGATTGAATTTAGTCGAAGAATACAGTACTCTAAAACGATTGACAGTCACTCACAAAGACTCATTACTCCAGAAATAAATTATTGGTACGAGGTGCTTCTACCTTTTTGCACAGGTCAGCGAAGCTGCTAGCGCTGGCCCTGAATAAAGATGACTTTACCACAAAAGAATAAATACTAACTTAAACTTATGAAGGAACGTTTTTTGAGTAAAATAACATGATCAATTCTGTCCAAACTTAAGTCAGTGTATATCACGACTTCTATTATTTAATTTTTAAAAGTCTTAATATCTCAGATAAACAAATGAAGAAATATAGATTAATAACGGGCGCCGTTTACCATAGACTTTGTTTGAAGCCAATATATACCAACGTATGACAGTTGTGGTCTAAGATTCATCTGTTTAACGGAAAGTTTTTTTTATTAAATAAAATATTATAAATATACCGCAAATGGTCAGTTTCTAGTTCTTGATATAAAATTAAAGTAAAATAAAATTTATTAAACCATTTAACAACATATGTAAGAATAGTAAATCCGCATCATGCCTTCGTTTTTCAAAAGAGTAAATATTAGTAATTCCAGATGGTTAGTATCTAGCCAGTTTATTCCTATATTGTATGCATAATGTCTAAAAAACCTCCTCTAAATCATATAAATTTGTGTGTGATTAGAATTTTTTATTTAAGACTGAAAGCTTCATCCAAAAATTATATAATAATTTAAAAATACAAAACAAAAATTAAACATAAAATAAACAAAAAATATAAAAGTATCAAAAGTGGTAATTTTAAATAAAAAAAAAAACGATAAAAATTGGTACGTCTATTTTCAAAGAAATATATGGAAATACCATGAAAACCGAAGATGTGCCCCATGGATATATTTAAGTGACATGTATGTCACCATAGGTACTTTAATTGCTTCTGATGCATTTTCGCTTATGTAATTTTTGGTCTCTTAAATATTAAATATTAACAGATAGTTTAGATTGCAACCTTCTTCTGCTTCACTAAATTAATCTGACTTTTCTTCCAGATTAACAACCTGCTCATTAATAAACTTTCAACATGTTTTTAAAGTTTTTGGGTTTTAGATCTTTTAATAATCTGCAAACTAATAAGTTTCATTTTTAAATTTACTTATTATTTTTAGCATAATTTTTTTTCTGAATTTAGGTACTTTTATAGATTTCTTGTTTATAAATTGAATAACTTATTTTATAGTTTCTGGAGCAATGTCGGTGGAACAACTTAATATAATTATAAATCTGTTCTAGGCGGTCTTTCACTACTTTCAGTAGGAGCTAAATTTTCCTTAAATAGAATTAAGCCTTTTTCAATATTTAAAAATGAAAAACAATCTTTTATTTTATATAAAATTATTTTTGGTTTTAGCTATCCTCTTTGCAAATTTTCAGAAGATACAAAATACTGTTTGAAATAGTTTATATGTTCATAAAATATTTTCCTTCCAGGGGGCACTTAGATTTATTTTATCAAGGAGGATACTATTGCAATCAGTAAGTTTAAAATGTATGAATAATTTGTGTTAGGAAATACATGTTATTATAATTTACTTGTATATCTTACTTAAAGACGGCCTAAGTTGAGAATTGAATAAAATAGGAATTGCTTCTAGCTTTAAATTCGTCTTTCCCGACGAAATTCATAACAAAATCATAATTTATAAAATTTGTCCAATATATTTTAGGGTTCTTGTTAATTTTATCAACTCCAACGGTTCCTAATTCTAGGTTTTGAATTCAAATTTCCATTGCATCAAAGTTAGTCGAAAACTAATAATATTTTACAATATAATTGTATTGCCTATGTTTTTTATTTACTTACCTTTGAAATGACGTGGGACTTCTTCAAATAAATGTTTTAGGGCAAACAAAACATTGAATAGTAATTTTTAGACTTACAACTAATAAAATTCGTTAAAAAACATACTAGAAACTCTGAAACCTTTACAAATATCCACTAGGAACATAAAATCATACAAAATGTATAAACAAAACTGACCATTCCCAAGTGTTTGTTGGCAGTTGTGACTAAATTTTGAAGCTGCTATTTAAAATAGATGAATCACACCAAAGATCCAGGAGGAAGAGAAAAGAAAAACGAATAGATACTTATCTACATTTCACTTGTTCACCTGAGCTTAATATAAATTAAAAAATATTGGAAATAAATAAAATAGTGAATAAATCTCCAAACAAATAAAAAAGGTTGTTTCGTTAGGTATGTTTACTAATGAACAATATTTGTTCAATAAATAATAAACAATCGTAGAAAAAAAAAAGTATGCAATATTATTATAAAAAAAAGTCTTATGAAAAGTGCCATTTTTGTCACTACCTCGCTAGTTGTACATTTCTAGCATATTCTTATTAAGTGATATTCAAGTTTATTAAGATGTCGTTATAGGTCAGTCATGCATATATTTTGTTTAGTTAAAATCCAATGCAACTACTGAAAGATAGAAAAGGAATCTAATAAATATTATGTGACATAGGAACAACGCTAAAGATTGAAAAGGATAACGCGAAAATGGGAGGAATATTAAAGTGTCCCTTTATATATTTAAACATTTTTTGATATATAATTTTTATTTCATCCTGATAAGATGTATTTGTAATATTATTGTTTATAATACTATTATTAATTATTTTATTTAAATTGTTCATTACGAAACCTTTATAAAATTTTATTTCTGGTCCAATTGATGTTGTACCTAATCCGCTATAATATAATAGTAAATTTTAATAAACCATTTTATGCAACGAAATTTGATAATAATGGATATATTATAATAAGCGATCAATATTATTTTATACATCCTCTATTCATTAATTATAATTTCCGCTATTTATCAAGCTAACAGGTAATTTCCAAAATGACGTTTTAGGTGAAAGAGAAAGGGATCATAATGAGTAATAATAATACTTCCTGAACCTCCTTTTGTTTTCATCTTCACAAATTGTGTGTATTTTAGTGAAGTGTTATTAAATGTAAATATTTGTTCAACATTTGCTGCTTTTGAATATCCACATCGGATGCAACTGAGATGATGTGAATTGTTAATCACGCGATAGAGGATTAGATCTAAATGTAGATGTAATAAACAAACGCTCTAGACTTTATTGGTTACGTGATAAAATGACAATAACAAGTTAGAAGTTTATATTTTTTAAATTTGACTTTTGAGGCTAGAAATCTCATTTCAAATCGAGATGTAAAAAATGTAATCTGGACAGCTACATCTCGGATAAACAAACGCAGATGTAGATGTAGTAGATGTTTTCAATGTTTATAAACAAACGCTCGAGATGTAAAAAATGTATCGGATATGGATATTCCAAAGACATTACAACTAAGAGACCAAATTGTTTACATTTTTATGTGGCAAATCATTATTCCCACCAGATTCTCGTTTATTGCGTCTTTGCCGATTTTATCAGTCTGTAAAAATTATTTGGAGAAATTACTTTCGAAAAATATAATTTGATGTATCCTATAACTATAATTTTATATTATACAGTGTGTCTACTTAAGTTGGAACCATATGGAAAACATTTTTATTATTGATTTTAGGAAAAAAAGTTATTCTTGATAAAAAGTCCTGCATAACCCAAAACCTAAAATACAGTCATCACATATCAAATTTTTCAAGCCGTATACGAGGTTTGTCAAAAAATATGAATTTTGCTCAAGAGTAAAGTACGTTTATTTTTGACAAAATCGAATATTTTCATTCTTGTACAAGATTTGAGACAATTTCTTATAGAATTTAAATTATATAGGATCACATAGTAAATTGTTTGAAAAATGATTATCCAATTTAATTTTTCAAACAATTTACTGCAGGTTTGATAATATACAATTTATATTGTACAAGAAATTGTATCAAAAATTTGTGTATTCTAAAACAGTCTTAAAACAGTTTTTAAAGTGCTATTCCTTTTATAAATTAGTAAATTTTTCTTATACCAATAAATAATTATTGAATAGTGGAAAAGAAAATTTAACGTAAAATGTAGAATACCTTAAAAATGATTTACCTATTGAGCACCAGTACATGTTTTTTAATATTCTATTTAGGTTTCCGCAAGATCCTGAGAAAAGAAAACTTGGTTTTCTCTAATAGGGATCCTTGAAAATCAGCCCCTTCGTAAAAACTCAGAGTTGTGTTTAGAACACTGTTTTCCTAAAAATGTTTTGGTACGTGCAAATGGTACTAGATATATTAGAAAAGATTGAAACTCCAGACGGTGTGAGGGCTTTCTATTTTTGGATGACTTATCGAACAGGTAAAAATACAAAATATTAATTTTTTGTTTACCTCTAAACATTATTTATTATCTATATGTATGTATATCTAATGTATGGGTTTTTAGTTCTGATTCAACTGTTTTTGGAACACCACCTGCTGCAAAAAGAAACATTGCAGTAAGTTACAACACTAATAACTAAGCATAAAAAAATTAAATGAAATTTTAGTTAATAAAAAAAATATATTTTTCCTACGACCACTTAGGAAAGTGACACATATCACACTATATAGTCTTATGGAAAGTGCACTATATCACACGCGTATGAATAAGAATTTACTTTCCACCCGAGTGAGAATATGTTACTTTCCGCAGTAGTTTTCACAAAATGTCAAACACCTAATTTCTATTTTGATCTATGTAATGTCCATATTAACACTAAAATCGATATGATTGTTAAATTATTGAAATCGTTGTAAATTAGATCCTAGATATTTATCTTTAACAATTATTATTAAAATAATTTTAAAATAATGTTTGCGCTCTTTATTCTGGTTAAATACATAAGCGATTAGATCATTCAATTGACACAAGGGATATTAGCTCAGGTGGTTAGGACGTCGAACTTATCAACTTTGCCATTTTTCGACCGCGTTCGAATCCTGGAGGGGCAGAATTTTTTTTTGTTTTTTTAATTTTTTTTTGTATAGAAAATATGAAAATTGAATAAATACGATTATTGTTATTTTTTTAAATACTTTTTAATTATTATAGTAATAAGAACCTTGGTTTTACATTTTTTTGATGACATTATTTTGTGGTCGTAGGAAAAATATTGTACATCACTATATAGTCGCACTCTGCTTGCGCCTCGTGCGACAATATTTCCCACTCGTGTGAAAAATTTCACTTTCCACACTCGTAATGTAATATACTATAAAACGTTATTTTAAAAATTTTTAGTTTTTTTGAGATATTTTTTGCCATACCATGTTTTTTGTAATTATTAATTAAAAAATTATATATTTTTAGGACAGTGTTTTATTTAGATACCCCTACCTACTTAAAGTTAATTTAAAATTTTAAATAATTTTGGTTAACATCATACCAGGCAAATATATAGTAAATGCCAATAAACTATAAACCAATAAATATTAAAAATCGGAAAGTAACTTGAATTCGCTTGTATTTGAATTTACTTGTACTTGAATTTACCTACATGAAAAATCAGCAAGTATCAGGCATAACTATTGCCATATACTCTGATAGCCAAGCAGCTCTAAAGACAATTCTCTCACCAGAAATCAAATCACCATTGGTGAAAGACTGTCTAGAAGACCTGACAGAGCTAAGTAGTCAAAATAAGGTGACCTTAGCCTGGGTTCCAGGCAATGAGGGATATCAGGGCAACGAAAAGGCCGACAAATTAGCCCGAGAAGGCTCAGATAAGGCCGGGACAGGCCCCGAACCCTTCTGTGGAGTTGCTAAGGCATTGTGCAAGGCATCCATTAAATAATGGATGCAAAAGAGTCTCAGGAATGGTGAAACAACTATTCAAGACTGAGACAGGCCAAACAGTTCATCAAGAAACCATCGGCCAATTTCACGAAAGACCTACTGGATCAAAAGCGCCAAATCGATAGGATAACAGTAGGCCTCTTTACTGGACACTGTCGTCTCAAAAGGTACATGAGTGTCATAAATCCAGCAGAATAAGCAACTTTGTGCAGGTTCTGTGAAGAAGAAGAAGAAACATAATTCTACGTCCTGTGCCAATGTGAAGGCCTGGCTGGAATGAGGTTTCTAACATTGGGCGAAGAAAAGCCAAATGCATGCAATTACATGCGAGAGCCACTGTCAAAGCTACTCAGTATAATAAAAAAGACCAGGCTAGACCACATACTCTAAAACAAACGGAGTCCCACAATAGATCTGAAAAGGTCGTGGTGGACAAGGACAAATAACGTCTAACTCCTAATCTAATCTACCTACATGAAAAATCATCATAATTATATTACTAAAAAAATATACCTACATATTTACGTATTTTTTTAACATACTACTTTGAGAATACTGGTAAGTTTAAAACTCTACGCCACTGGCGAGCATATTATGGATACTGTTTACAACGTTGCCAGCCGGTCCTAAGAGATCTGTCTTTCTCTCTTCCACTCACTAACAATTTTAAAACAATAACAGTCCACAATTGTATTGGATTTATGACTGAAACATTTTCTCTATGTTGTAATGTCTTTGGGATATTCAAACGCAGCAATTAATTAAAAAAGAAAAGATTTTTACCGTATATAACCTTACCTTTTTTTGACTATAGCTACTATGACTGTGTGATGATTGCCTTTGGTATTTCTTATTGATCTGTAACAAAAAAAGAATCAAATTAACAGCAATCTTCATAAAAACAGTTTTCCTACTGCGTGTGATTTAAATAATTTTTTATTTTTAGCATCTAACGTAGGAAAAACAGATTTTTAAGACAGCAAAAAAATGCTGAGAAAGGATTTCCACTAAATGCTTAAATTGACAGTTGCATTGTACTGGCTTTAAAAATACTGTTTATACGATGTTGTATAATATAAACGTATTCCTTCTGTTTAGGCAGGTATTGTAATAAATAAAGATGGTGAAGGGAAACCTGAAGCTGAGACAAAATCTGCTACATACGTAGTAATTTGTAGTGGAAAGCATTCTTCCTCTAATGCAAAGACTCATGCCACAAACATACATATATACATAGATTTTTTGAAACACCTGCTTTCAAAAACTTACTGGTGTTCTATTAAAACGTCAATTTTGGTTTACATCTCGATTCCAGTAATAGAACTACTGACTTGGAGTTAGAAAAACGAAACTTTGAGAGTGAAGGCATTGGGCTGTCTAATATTTGGGGCCAATTGGTCATTGATGATTTTCCTGTGGTTGCCGAAAATATTGTGCCAACAGATACTAGATTAGATATTGAACATGCTAAGGTATTAAAAAATGATGCGATTTGGTACGCAAATCATGTGCGTGAATTACAATATTTATTATAAATAGTAAAATGCGAGGATGTCCCTTGTTGTGGTGTGCGATGATCTAGCCTTTGGCGACTATTACGAGAGGAATTTTTACCACCACCTGTTTTAGTTAAAGAGACGTCCAACAGGTTGTAACCATAGAAGGTAAATTTGCTCCACTGTTACTTCAGCTATCTTTGGATCTCCGAGCATCATCACATTTAAAGCAAGTTCCGTATGATAACTATTGTCCCAGAGTCGAGGTATACTTGTTTAAGCGAGCGTGTGGCATCTGTAGTCTATATTTTGCATCATACAAGGCCACTAACCAACACAAGCAATCACATAAGAGGCAACAAGAAGTTTTGCCCATCGCAAAGAATTGCTGTAGACGTGCCAGAGAAATTATTTGTTTGGATAACGATAATGCCATTTGGTTGGATGAAAAACCAGACCGAAGTGACTGCTATGCAAGTTATAAATAATTTAAAAGAGTGGGTTTAAAGTCCATGGACTTAAGATGAATAAGTTTGAATATTTAAAATGTTCGATTTGATGTTGATTTTATTAAAAATAATTTAAATGGAAGTAAAACTAATTTTGGAACTGTTTTAATTTATTTAATAATCTCTAGATGTAAAATTGCAAAATATGTGACGTCACATTAGGGAGGGGGGAGTCTCGCAAATGTGAGCAGCTGTGACTAGGACAGGGGAGGAGTCAAAAAATCACAAAATTTGTGTGACGTAATTTATGGATGGCCCCTAATGATTAAAAAAAATTTTCGGATTCGAGTTTTTTTTCGTTTCTTTGCATTTTCTGAGAGCATTTACCATAGTAATGTATATATTTTTTTACACCATCAGAAAGTAGAGATTTGAACGAACAAAAAACAAAAAGCCCATCGACTTTTTTAAAAAAGCAAATATATTGACAGGAGAATTTTCGATTAAAAATTAGGGTGCTTTTTCGATATTAAGTCAAAATAGGATGAAAAAATAAATATTTTAAATCAAAAAAATTGCAGTATGTTTGGGACATAAAGAGGTAAGTTTGCACCAAATTTTTTTTTAAAAGATAAAAATAAAAAAACCCAAAAAATGGTTATTTGAATTTTTTACAGACATTTGAGGTTATGTGAAAAAAGTGTAAATAAAAAAGTTGTAGATCTTTTTATTACCTACAACTTTGCTATTTAACTTTTTTCCATAGGACTCACCCCTTTCAACTTCCCGACCTCACATCTCCCGTAAATTATTTTTCCTTTTATTTTTGTTGTATTCTCTTCCTTTTCCAATGGGTTTCATTCTACTATTATTTTTTTCACTTTTTACCATTTTCAAAGCTCTGGTCTATGCTACAACTACGCTGAGCACAAGCGACCATTGTTTTAATATGTACAACTTATTTTGCAAATGACATAAAAATTTAAAAAACGTTGATTGAAACCACGATTAGTTTGAGGATTCGTAAACACAATATGGCGGAAGTGAACCCGTCTTAGACCACGTGGCAGCGTCTGCCTACCTTCTACCTCCTTGGTAGAAACCTATAAATATACATACAATTTTATCAATATTGTCCAAAAATGACAACCTTGTAAAACTTCTGTTGAATCTCTAAGTAATCCCATAAGAATAGTAATTCACGTTATTACTTTTTGTTTGCTGTTCCAAAAACTTTTTATTTTTTATGATACATTTTAATATACCATGATTCACCAATCATCTTAAGATTGAATCGATTTAACGATAAAAATCTTTCCGGGTAAATATACCGTAAACGTTCCACCTGACCTAAATTAAATACATTTTCTCCCTTTCGCTAATGTGATGACTCGTTTTGAATAGGACAAGCAACTACTTTGTCTGCTTTCAAATCACATTTTATCTACAAAGTTCTACTTTTCTTGTAGTTATTTATTCAATAAAATCATTCGGTTGATTCTCCAAATACTTATCTGATATTGAGAGTTTCCGTGAGATTTTTTCAATAGCTCATTATTCATGTTGACAAGCTATTCAGAAATATTGGAAAAAAAAAACAATATTATCTCCTGTTGCAAGGTGTTGAATTTGAACTTCGATACTTGACTCGATATATAATTATACAGGGTGTCCCAATAGTGTGTGGAAGTTCTGTATATCCGTTATTATACAAAATATCAAAAAATGTTATTTGTAGATAATGTTAATCTGCACAATCAAAAATTATTTTCGAATATACAGAGTGATCCATAACTTTAGACTTGATAAAATAGGTTTTTGTTTTTAAATGGACACCCTGTGTTGATTCTAAATTAGAATTATCTTGTTTCTGCCCTTCAAGAATATACCAGCATGTGTGAGGTTATACTAGGTATTTTAGAAGTTTCAACCAATTTTATATGAAAATCGTACTATGTTCAACCCTCTGTATATTTTAAAAGAAATAATTGAACAGCAAAATCATTTTTATTTGAATATACTAACACTAACACAGGGTGTTGTTGTTATCTCTAGTTTAACCTACTAAAGAAAAGTCTAATGTTCGAGATACTGCTTTATTTATTGAAGAAAAGTTACAAAATAAAAAAATGTCTAACTTTGACATTTATAAATATCTTGACGGTTTTAAAAAAAATTGTGGTAACTATTCAAAATGTTTAAACAAAAACATAAAAGGGCACCGCTTGATATCAATGGCGAATTAGTGTATCATTCAGCAGGAAACGTCTTCACAGGGTGAGTCAAAACTCAAATATATGATTTTCTTAATTTAAATGGTACACTCTATTTCATATCTCTACTAAAAAGAAATTTAATTATACGTTCGTTTGAGTTAAAACCATTCCCTATTCCTAAACACAACAGTTTATATTATTTCTTATTATTATTATCTTTGCTCAGAGAACTTATAGGTAATTTATATAACAAAAAAAATCTGATGTGTCCAACACATGACTTTCCTATCTAGTTATTACAGGCTTTTTCCGGTTATTTTGTACAACCTATTGCACCACCTCCATAAATGTTTAGAGGATAAACTAAATATATACATTTTCCACATACATCTACCTCGAAACATTTTTCTATAGATATTCATTGAAAACGAAAATACTAAAAAATTTAAATTTAGCACTTTTCCTACAATTTTTCCATTACGGTCCATTTTAGAACAATCATGTATAAATAAAAATTATAGAGATCGATATCGCAAACAACTTTTATTTCAACAATTTTCATAAAAATCAGAATTTTGCACATTTTGTCAAATTTCTCGAATACGGACTATTTCAGGAAATTTTGACATAAAACAAAAATTATAGATAATAATATTAGAAGTAACTTTTATTTGAACTATTTTTTCTCCAAACATAAATAAAAATATATTCCATAAAATATAAAAACGGCCTCCCATAAAATACCCCCCAGATGTTCCGACTTTGTCCAAAATCTAATCATTTCACGTCAGGCCGAAATAAAACTTAAGTTTAAAATTTATTGTTTTTTTCTTTATTCGTTTTTGAGTTTTCTTCAAATTTCGAAATTTACACATTTTCTCAAATATCTCGAATACGGTCCATTTAAAAAAATTATGAAAAGGATAAAAATTATAGAGAATTATATTACAAACAACTTTTGTTTGAACAATTTTTATAAAAAAATATTTTTTTACATTTTGTCAAATTTCTCGAACACGGACCATTTTAGAAAAATTTTGTATAGAACAAAAATTTTAGATAATAATATAAGAAGTAACTTTTATTTGAACAATTTTCTTCCCCAAACGTAAATAAAAGATATATTCCATAAAATATAAAAATGATTTCCTATAAAGTACCCCCCTAGAGGTTCCGACTCTGCCCAAAATCTAATCAGCTCATTGGACGCTGGAACAAAGCTTAAGTTTAAAATTTGGTGTTTTTCTGTGTATCGGTTCATGAGTTATGCGACACACAGACACACAGACATCATCGCGAAAATAGTCAAAACGGATTCAGGGGACCTCAAAACGTAAAAATCCGTCGAAAACTCGAGGTCGAAAAAATCATGATTCCTATACTTTCCTTATATCTGTATCTACAGATAGGAAAGTAAAAATGTCATTGTGTTTTTAATGAAAACCCGTCTGACTTCTAGCGAAGTACAGACTCATCTGATCTTTTGTGCAGTTCAAAAAAAGAGATACATACATGTCTACGTGTTGGCCTTGAGGTTTCGCGCGGATGCAGCTTCGCGAACGCGATTATTGTCACGTAGACGTTTATTTACATATGCCTATAATGAACATCTGGATTCGCGAGCACAGGACCGACTTTGATATGTTTTAAACGGTTTTGAAACAACTCTTACAAATTTTAAATGGTCTCCTATATTT